TAGGGCAGTGCTTTGCCAATAACGTTGCATAACTTGGCAAGTGTTATGTGACTCTATCTTGCTGATAAGAAAATTTAAGTCAAATGTCCTGAGTTCAGTCCCATAGAGGGAGAGCAGCAGGGGAGTACTTTGGCCCCACTTCATTCATGCCATTTTGCTCAAGTGATTGTGACTGACAGAAGACTATCAGAAAAAGTAGTTTTCTGACTGGACAGTGATTTTATGTATGTGAATTTTCCTGGGATGCAGGTGCTGCTTTCTCCTGTTCCTGCATCAGCTCCCCTCCCAGGCCAAGGCAAAGTTCTGAGCAGAAGCTGTCTTGGCAGTGCACTCTGGGCTCTCTGGTCAGTGCACCTCACATCTTCTAGCCAGAAGGGGCTATGAAGGGAAGACTCCCCAGAAGGGAAGACTCCCAGGCAGTTCTGGCCAGCAGGCTCCTATCCCCAGACTCACTGGGCCCTCAAGAGCATATTTCTCCCACTGACAAGGTCGCTCTTGTTCTTGCCTGATGGGGAGGGAGAGAAGCTGGATTGGTGTATTTAGTAGAACAGCCTGGTTCTAGCACATCTTTCTGAAGAACAGTGGGGCTGGAACTGGTGCACAACATCCCTTGATAGTTGCTCATGCATGAGTTTGTCCAATACACCCTATTCCATAACACTAGGCAGGCAGAGAAGTGGAATTTAGTGGGGGCCTGCTGCATAGTCAGTCAAGAGCACGAAGGGGCACATTCCCCATAGTTAGGTTTCATTTCTTATGATTCATTTGTAATCACTGAGTTGCAATAAGAATTGCACAATAAAGAATTGCAAATGATTGTGCCTTTCATACTCTATAACTTTCAGAATGTTTCATTTTTTATATTCTATTTCATTCCCACAAAAATATCCCAACCAAGTTTTATTTTTATTGTCCAGAAAACAAATCTAAATTTTAGAGAGGTTAAATCCTCTTCCTGGTGCGTGCCTGTAATCCCAAGCCTTTGGGAACCTGAGGCAAGAGGACAGAAAGTTTGAGCTCAACTTGGGCAATTTAGTGACTTAGCAAGATCCTGTCTCAAAATTAAAAAAACAAAACAAAACTGTAAAAAGGGCTGAGAATATAGTTCAGTGCAGAGGCTCTGGGTTTAATCCCTAGTTTTCAAATAAAAAGCAAATAAAGGAAAAGGTTCTGGTCAAGGTGGTGAACCTGTGGATCTAGACATCTAGCCAAGAAGTTGCTTAGCTTCAAGCTCAGTTTGCTCCCTGGTTCCTGAGCATTTTGGAAAATGCCTCTGAAGCAGTACCACTTACCCCAAATATTTAAAACATCCACATAGGGGAATCCTATACTAGGGGCTAGTGTATTGAAAGACCTATATAACATCTCCAAAAGTTTGCTGTCTTGTGGTAGATGAAGGACTTTTTTTTTTTTCCGGTACCAGGAATCGAACTCACGACCTTGCGCTTGCCAGGCAGGCGCTGTGCCACTGAGCTAAATCCCCAGCCCCAAGGACATTTTAATATAACTATTTATTACAGATTCAGTACACTTTTCAATTTGCTTTGCTCAAAGTGCAGTGCCTATGCCAGTGATGGCAAACCTTGTAGAGACCAAGTGCCCAGATTATAGCCCCAAACCTTATGTATTGCAAAGTGTCGATGCTGCAGTTAAACCTCAATATCCGATGCTCAGCTGTTGGGGTGACGCTGGGGCGATGGCTCGAATGCTGACAGAGGGTTATGCATGCCACTGCAGCAATAGATTTGCCACCACTGGTGTATGCTGTGAGACATTAGACAAACTTTATAAAAGGAAAGGGCTGAGATGTCTTAGCTGCTACTCAGCCAGGATGGAAACAGACAGCAGCAGTGACAGAGACTGTGAGATGTTAGGGTAGTTTCACAGCTGGCCGGAGGAGGACTTGGACCTGTTTCAGAGAGAAGTACATTTCTCCACAGTCCGTATTTCTTCCTTATCTTCACAATCATGATGCCCTCTGGGTTTAATGAGGCACAAAGGTCAGGGAGGGACCTCAAACTTAACATTTCCAAGGTTGAACTCATAGTCTGTCCCCCTCACATCATGATTCCTGAGCCTGTCGATGGCCTACTCCCAGTCCACATCTAGGTGTTTAATAGTGAGTCTGCCTAGACTTCTCTTTCTTTGCTCATGTTCCTACTCATTAATTCTTGTAGATGTTATTTCTCAAAATTAACAAGTATTCCCAGTTTCCCCGGCTCTACGATACCATGTACTTCCAGGCCTTGATAGTTTTCAAAGACTATGGAGAGATTTTCCTGTTGGTTCCTTCCTGTCTGAGCCCGCCCATCTCAGGGCACTGGCAGCATTGTGGTCCACAGGTGTGTGTTTCCCTTCAACTTGTGTTTGAGCTCCTTGAGAACAAGGGCTACCTCGTGCCATGACTGTTTCCCAGCGCTCGGCACAATGTCGAGCAAAATGAGTTTCACTTGGAGGTACCTGCCAGTACCAGGTTGTCCTCTTCCTGCCATCCTCTGTACTGCTCAGTGGCAAGGCAAGAAGACATGCGCAGTGAGAATGGTGGCAAGCACCTGCGTTGTCTGGGTGAGGGACTCCTTGGGATAAGGTTCCCACCTGTCTTAGTTAGGGAGGCTGTGGTTACAGACAGCTTTCCTGAAGGAAATTGAAGTGGAACAGATTACCAGATCAGAGAGAACTTGCCAGGCTAGCTTGGTGTCTTGTAACTGGTCAAAAAAGACACTGTTATGGTTTGTGTCTGGATATCCCCCCAAAGCCTCATGCAGTCATGGGGTGGGCTTGTAGAGTTTACGATTGAGTCATGGTCCAAGGCTGGGATTATTGGTGTGACTGCTACACTTGCCCTGGGGTGGGTAGTGTGCATACAGTGTAAGGGAGGACAAGAGGCTGCTTGCTGCTGCTTCTCCCATTTTGCTCTTGCTGCTTTTTCCGTCTTCCCACACCATGAACTGTTGCCCTCTGCCATGTGCCACTCTGCCTTGGAGCCAGCCAAGTACGGACTGAAACCTCCACAAACAGTGAGCTAAATAAACCTTTCTTCCTTAATTTTGGACGTCAGGTGTTTTGTCTCAGCAACGAGAGAAAAGTAACTGAGACGGACATCAAGAGCATGAGTCAAGGCAGGGGTTCCTACGTTCACTGTTTTATCCCCAAGGGTGGGAGGAGTGGATAGGATGTAAATGTTCAGTCAATTTTTGCTGAGTAAATGTCTGATAGAAGGAATGACTAACGGAATGAATGAAGGATTAAGCTGAAAGCCACACCCTTCCAATCCACCCAAGGACCAGTCTTTCTGTGGCAAGTATGTGTGCACACATAGGAGGTAGACACCTTGCCATCGATCTCCCTCAAAATACTACCTCTTGCTTTGAAGGCGCTGATCATACCCTTATTGACACTTTCTGAAGAAGTTCTGGAATTCTTTCTTGAGTGTCTTCAAGTGCCATGTGTGGGTATCTTGACTTGAGTCAAAATGTTTTCCTTTCATGGTTATTTTGACATTAGGGAAGATCCAGAGGTGCACGGTGCCAGATCCAATGAATAAGGTGGATGAGGACACAGCTTCACGTTTTTATGAATCTGTCTTTTTGTTGGACAGAAGTTGGCAGCAACATATGCTATTTTTTATCACACCCCATAAAGACACCCACAAAAGAGGACTTGCAGAACTGCTTCAGAAAGTGGCAAGAATGAGGGACAAGTGTTTTCAAGTGAGGCAGAGTATTTAAGTGGGATTAATGGCAACGTGTCTCTTACTGAAAAAAATTTTAAAATTTAAACATTCACCATATATTTTAGCAGCCTCTTGTCTGTAAATAGCTCTTTCAAATAAATAAAAAAATTTAAAATTGAGTATCACAGTCTTCTCTTTACAATCAGCCACAGTTAAAGCATAATTACAGCTACTCACTAGTATTTTACACATGTACACACATACAGTCTATAAATCACTTACATAGATAAGCCTTGTAATTTGTTTCAGTTACTGAGAGAAATATGATTCTTGGGAAGTAAATGGACCTCCTACCTGAAAGCCATACAACTTTTTGTTCTCAGAATTAGTTTTGGGGCAATGGCTGGAATGAATTTGTCCTGTGCTTTGCCCTAGCAGGAGGTGTTGCATAGGGGAGGCCTGGGGGACATGTGGGTGGTCATATGAAGAGCTCTTGGGCTGTGCTTCCTGCAGCTCTGGGGAGCAGAATCATAGCGTGCAATGCCTTTCTAGGCTCCTCAAATCAGAGGAAGCTGGGGCTGGGATGTGCTCCTGGTTTACATTCTTCCACCTAAACTTCTGACACTGCTTTTCTATCTGTCTGTTGTCTGTCTCTCTCTGAGAATGACAGATGATTTTCATCTTTATCTATGAGTGACACAGACTTAGTCATTCACTGTGAGCAGACCAAAAGCCAGCAGAGGGATGAAAGCAACCTAAAATAGATCTTTATAAAACTGATTGGTGTCAGGGTTATAAACAATTTAAGTGGGAAAGAAAAGAAGACAGGCAAGAACCTGCTGGAGAGAAGAGCAAAGAACCACTTCCTCCCTTTCTTTCTTATTTTTCCCTTCCCTCTTTTTAAAATTTAATTCTTTTTTGTTGGTGCAGACATTCAAAGAGACACACAGGGAGACGACCTTGGCATAGGAGGGGATGGTTTCCCGTGACTGTTCCCATACCTGCACACGGGCTTCCTGCCCCAGCCACCCCTCCACTGTTGTAGGGCACATTTTATAATGCAAATCACTGTCGGCAACATGGTTCATTATTTTCCTCTCTGAATAAAATATGAGCACATCAATTATGTGTCAAGTCTCTTTCTAAATGCATACCCTTGTCATACTGACCTCTTACCACTTTTATATTTTTCAGTGGTCCCTGGCATTTGTCAGCTGGGTTAGTTCCAAACCTTTCTAACCTACTCTCTTATTCTTTCAGCACTCTTGCATCTTTCCCATCGGGCTAATTAGTGTGACTTGCAGGGGCGCTGGCCACGGGCACTCACCACTGCTTGTAGTCTGCGTCGCAGTTGCAGTAGTATTTGGGGTCTGTGCAGTTGCGCTCGATGCCACAGGCACACTTCTGAATTCCGGGCTCCGAGCCACCCCAGTAGTAGTGCTTCTCATTGGCTTTGCCAACCCACCAAGTGTAGGGACTTCCATCTGCAAGAGGGCAAAGGTGTGGTTAGAATGGCACCTGGATCTGGTGATTAGCATTTCAGCCTCTTCCCACTTCTCCCGCATTGGTACTTTTCTCAGAGACACTGAATGGTGTGCTTACCTTTCCCATCATCTTGTTTTGCAATTCTGTATCATTTTTATAGTTTTAGTGGTGTTTTGTTTTTATCTTTGGTTGTGTTATTTTGTTTTTGTTCTCTTCTCTTTAAAATAAAAAAAATAAATTTAGCTCAATAATAGGAATGTTTAATTTTTTTAAAATCTAAAGAATTGGTGCATCTATGTTTTTCTATTGAAACATGTACTGATCTCCTTGGAAGAAACTTTTACATTCAAGCTTCTGTAATTTAGGAGTAAATTCGAAGCCCAGGTGGGGGCCAGGCTACCCTGTATGGACTCTAAGATATACAACTAAGTAAACTGATAGTCATGGAGATCTTAGACCAGTAGAGCTAACTGTGGACATCCATTGTTTCCATACAGAACCTCTTGATTTTATGCAGAAAGAGATGTAGCTTAGAAAAGTTGTGATTCTTTTAATCACTCAGCAGACTGGCCCCCACACCAGAAGTTTGAGCAGAAGTGAATAAAAGGCTGACAATACAATGGAGGAAGCTCTCCATGCAGTTGGTTCTGCAAATCTAGGGGCTCCACATCCATGGAATCAACAAATCATGAATTGAAAATATTTGAAAAATAATTATGTCTGTACCACACATCAACACAGACATTTTTCTTGGCATTATTCCCTAAGCAACACAGTATAACAACTGTCTCCACAGCATTTACATTATATTAGATATGGAAGTAATCACAAGATAATTTCATCCACAGGCTGTGGATGCATAGGGTATGTATAAATATGACCTTAATTTACATAAGGGACATGAATATATGTAGATTTTTGTATCTATAGGGGTCTTGGAATGAATCTGTGTATATTGCTTTCATTGTTATTTAGCCTAATATTCACTGGTTCATTCATACGCTCATCCAAACAACCACTGGGATTCCTTTATATGTCAAACATTATGAGAAACCTAGTGGAATGATGGAGAAGAAAAACGCAGATTGAAAGTGCAGCTTAATAAGTGTTACAAGCAGGGAGGAGAGTGGGCTGGGGAAAAGAGGTCAGTAAGGGAATTTTTCCAGTGGTGGTAAAGAGTCTTGAGGCTGAATGGCATTCTGTGATAAATAAAGCTATGCGAGAGGTAAGGGTTCTGTGTTAACCAGCTCTCCTGTTGCTAGGACAATTCAACTTTAAGGAGGTGAGGTTTAATCTAGCTTATGGTTTGGGGGGTTCAGTCCATGGTCAGCTGGCTCCAAGGCAGGAACATCATGGCGGAAGGGGCTGGTGGAGGAAAGCTGGATTGGAGACCACTAAGATGGTGGAGAACAGGCTTTAGAATTAATCAAGTGACTTTGTATATTAACATATGAGTCTGTCCCAGGACTAAATGACCTGCCTAATGAGCCAGTGACTGGCATGCAGAAACAACTCTCCATGCCAATGGCCATGGAAGAGTCCTGTACTGGCCTGTGACATTGTGACATCTCTGAAGGCAAGATAATAGCGCAGCTGAGGGCACTAAATCTCACTCAGAGTTCCAAACCAAAAACTGCCAACCTTAGAGATAAGACAGTTTTCTTATTAAGCAAAGATTTACCACTTGGAATGTCTTTGATCCATCTTCACAAGGCCTTGCTTACTATCACACCTTTTGCCTCAGTGATTCCCTGGACTTCTCTGTATGCCCCCTCATATGGACACAATAAATAGTGGGCAGTTCAGAGAAGTCTGTCTTATCCATAAGAGCTCTGACCTTTCTGGACCCCTATGTACCATATTACATTGTCTACTGCTTTTATCCTTTGCTGTACACTTGTCCATAAGACTTAGAGATTAGCCAGCTGCTGATAAAGCTGCTCACCTCATGGAAGTCAGGAAGAAGAAAGAGACAATATGATCCAGGAAGGAAGACACACCCTCCAAAGGTACATCTTCTCTAACCAGGTCCTAACTCCAAACACCACATTAGCTGTGAGCTCATCAATGGATCAATCCCCTGATGGGTATAGTATCTCATAATTCAATTGCCTTCCAAAAGCCTTGTTACTGAACACACGAGACTTCTGAGGAATGTTCTAGATCTAAATCATAACAGGCTCCTATTCAAAGGAGGCAGGAGGTAATATAAAGAGCTCTAGTGCAAAGTGTATGCAGAAGCACGCACACATAGGGTCAAACAGGGCTGAGGAGACTCACTGGGAGGGTTGCAGCTGGAGTCAGCAATGGACGGCAAACAAGGATCACATATTGCACAATACCTTGTCCCGAGCTGATGTGTTTTTGCTCTGATTAATTCTCTTTTGAAAATACTTATTTCCCTCTGCTCTAAAAAGTTTGAACTTTCTCCTGAAAAGTGGGCAATCGCTAAACTATTTGAAGCAGGGAATTCTTCTGGTCAAATTTGGGTTTTAAAAGATCAATAATAAGTTACTAGATGAATCTCTGTGAGATGGATCCAGGGAATCCTCTTTTTTTCCCCAGTACTGAATCTAGGGCCTTCACACATAGCCGCATCTCCAACCTCAACTTTTTTTTTTTTTTTTGGCAATATCTTAAGTTGTCCAAGCTGAACTTGAACTTGCAATACTTCTACCTCCACCTCCTGAGTAGCTGGGATTACAGGCACGTATAACTATGCCCTGCCAGAGGTGCTCCTTTTTCATGAAGAAGAGAAATAACAAAACAGTACTAGATGAAAAAAGCAAATAAAAACAGGAAGAGATTTGGGAGGTACAACTGGGACTGGTAGGATTAAGGTTGGTGGGAAGAGACAGAAGTCGGCGGGAGGCTTTTGGTCTGGGTGACCAAGAGGATGCTGGTGAGCTGCGTTAAGGCAGGGAATGGGGAGGAAGTTCAGAATCCTAGGGAATGAGAAGATGATGAGCTTCATACATAAAACAGAAAATTGCCTGTAGGCATCCAGATCTCAGGAGCATACAATCCTGTTTCAGCAGCCATCAGGGCAACTCAAAAATTATTGGAAGTGGCAGCAGTATGGATGGAATCTGTTCGATTGCAACAGCTTTTTGAAACAAGACAAGAGGGAGAGGATCACAGTGGAGTCCCAGGAAGGAGGCAGCCAGAGGGGTGAAAGGATAAAGAAGGAAGGATTTCCAAAAGAGCAGATGGCTGTCATGGGAAGTTTTCAGAGTAAAGCCCACTAAGAGGAGGATATAAAATTCTTTCACTGTGACAATTAGAAGATAAATGGAGAACTGGTTGTGAGGACTCAAAGGTGGGCAGAGAAAGGGATAAATGGGGAGATTCAAAGGCCCCAACACCAGAGGACTTTGTTTTAATTTCATTTTAGTGCAGTGAGAGTACTTAATGAAATCTCCTCTTTTAATGATTTTCTAAGTGTACAATGCAGTATTGTTAACTGCAGGTATGGAGTTGTGTAGCAGATCTCTGGAAATCATTCCTCTTGTTTACCTGAAGGCTTTGTGCCCTTCCTCGGGTTCCTAGCTCCTGGCGACCACAAGCCCACTGCTTGCATCTCTGATCAGACTATTTTATATATCTCATATAGGTGTGAGCATGCAGTGCTTTTTGTCTACACATAAGGGCTCATTATCTCTGTTTTCCTTTCAATCTCTGCTCCTGATTGTGATTTCTCTTCTGTAATAATATTAGTCCTAAAAAGAAAAGAATTCTGCAAAATGTGACAATATGGATGAGCCTTAAGAACCGTATGCTAAGAGGATGGGTGACCCTTGGAGGAAGCTGGGAATAGGGGGGGCGGTGGCACCCAATAACCCAAAAGGCTGAATCCACTAAAATCTCCGGGTCTGTGTGCCACCATTTCCTGGTATTACCTCACTTGTCTTTTCAGTATGTTAAGTACTCACTTGTTTCTCAGAATATTGTGCCCAAAATAAAAGTATTGGAAGGTCTTGCAAGCATGAATTATCACTTGAAAAATCACAAAGAACACAATAAAATAAGAGCCATAATGAAATTACATAAAAAGTGCTGTGGCACCTTCTCAGATATTCTAGTAGTTTCCCTTAAAAGCAAGTTGGTTAAAATGTAGGCAATTTAAAGTCACCCGAAATAGACTGGGACTGGAGTTCACCGTCCTGTGAGGAGTGAGCAAGCATTTTGGACTTGAAAAAGAGTTAGTTACAGCATTCCAGGATTCTCCTGCTCCATACAAACTCCTGGGTTTGACTGAATCTGACTGTGTTTTTTCTTGGCACAATTATATTTGGAATTTTAAAAAATATCTAAGACAATCTGGTGAGTAGTCAAGAAGGAGATACTAATATTCTGTTCTGAAGGAAGAAAGATGTCTGCTCTCTGAGACAGGTCCATTCTGAAACTCTGTCTGCTGCCCATTGGGTCTTTTCTTCGCACTTAGAAGGCCTGAGTTTGCTTCTACAGTCAAGCTATTTTGCTTCTTCCTTCTCCTTCTGCCCCATTGTTGAAGTCACGGCATGCAATACACTGTCATTTTTTTTTTGTTGCAGTCAAAAACTGCTTGAAAAATCCCTTACATGGAAACTATACAGTAATCTGAGCCACTGCAAGACCTGGTGACTTCATCCGACCCATGAGCTGCGCTAGGCTTCTGTTGATTTCATAAACAGGAGACATGTGGCTAGTGCTGCACTGGGGTTGCAGAAGAGTGCTGGGGCTGCAAGACCAAACCTGACCCCAAGGATGTAGGTTCAGGTCAGCTGTCATATTCATTTACTACATGGGACCTTTTCAGGGTGATCTAAGCATAAGTGTTTTCTCCCAAAGGGAATTTTGATTAATATCATTGCTTTTGAGAGCTTGTTTGGAGGTTCTAGCAGGGGAGCCCAACTACTTGTATCCCCTTGACCGAGAAAGTGGTTCTCCTTTATGGGGGAAGGTGGTTCTCTTTGACGGAGTTTGAAGTTTCCAGGATGGAGTGATGACACAGGAAGGA